CTATTTAAGAAAAACTTTAATTGCATTTATTCATTTACTATGTGCGTCAGAGAACTATTCACGGGAGTTTGTTCCCTCTGTCCACCTGTGTGGGACCTGGGGATTTAACTCAGGCCAACAGGAGCCATCTCTCTGGGCCCCTAGAGCTATTTTTGCACAGAGCGTACAGTGTTTTTGTTTTTTTTTATTGTAAATCATCCTATATGTGATTCTGTAAGTATGAAAGCCCATTTATTCTAACAGAAAACTTTGCACAATAATTTCCTGGTATGGGGAGTTTGTTGCTTGATACGTATTTTTCCTCTGTGTCCACAGTCTTTTCTGCTGATGGTGTAAAGTTGAATCTGATCTTTTCCAAAGTCTTTTCAAGCTATTTTCTGAAGGAAGACAGCTCCCACTCGCACCTGAAAGAGAGCATGTCTTTATCCTTAGATAAAGTTAGAGCTTTGATGTTTCGGGAGGACGGCAGACAGCCGCCTTGGATGTTGGTCATTCCATAGCTCTGTTGCCAGCCCCACCTTGTCCCGGAACACTGAAAGCACAGCTTCTGGGTTTTGTGGCTTTTAGGCTCTCAGCACCTGAGGTCCAGGGAGAGGACAACCCTCGCCTCCTGCTGATAACAGTTACTGAAGAACTTGAGACCTTTGTGAGGGTGTCAAGTGCAGTGACGCAGGGCCCCACACCCACTAACCTCTGCCGTGGATAAGGTCTTTGCTTCCTGTGTCGTCTTCTCTATTCCAAGATGTCCCACCACCCTGTTGAAGCGTGAAAATTCACATCCCCTTGAGCCTTGTTTAGTTAACCATTATATTAGTTAATTTTCTTGTTGCTGTGACAGAATACATGAGCGAAGGTAGAAAAGACTTATGTTGGCTTATGGCTTGAATAGGTCCAGTCCATCCAGAGGAGAAAGGGTTGGTGCAGTTCATGGCCACAGGATCATGAGGCAAGAATTCCTCACACACTGGAGTTCAAGAAGCAAAACTCAGGCCCAAATTGGGACTCAGCTATAACCCACAGGCCTGTATTCCAGCCACCTGCTTTCCCCAACTGCATCCTAACTTTAAATGGTATACAACCTCCCTAACTAGTGCCAGTGGCTGCGGACCACACACGAGCTTGGGAGGGAATGTTTTACATTCAAATCACAGTCCTCATGATCAATTCTGGTATCTTAGATTCCGTGCACCATCACTGGCCAGGCTAGAGGTGGGCCGCCTTCCCCCGTACCCCTAAGTGACTAATGGTGGCCTATTAGCAATTAGAGGTGGGAGATGGGAGCTATCAGGATTTCGCTTGGTTGTCCAGGCAACAGGGGCTATGGGCAGGACAATTTCTTTAGCAAAATGGCTGGTCAGGTACTCCTTGCTATGCCCAGGCAGGAGATCTCAATTTGAATTTCCCTTCGTGAGAAGAACCAGAAATTCAGGGCTACTTTTCCAGTGTGGTGGAATTGAGAGTTTTTGAGTAGCGCTCAGTGGGCGCGTCTTTGTTAATAAGGACAAATGGAGAATTGGGGCAATTACCTATATATTTGAGTCCCAGAATCTGCTATCATCTGGGGTTTTGGACAAAAGCACATACTCCAAATAAAAAAACTGATTTTTCTTTTCTTTTAGCCTGAATCACCCGTATCACAGCAAGATTTTTACTTGAATGACCCAGACAGACTACACCAATTTTCTGCTTTCTTTTGCTGTGGAAACTGGGCTGTTAGTGTCTACCTTTGAAATAGTAGAATGTATAAAAAAACCAAGGTTGTAACCTAGAAAAATTCTACAATTTCATTATTGGGTGTTTCTTAATAAAGCATATGACATGAAGAGGGGGTGTAGCTGGCCTTCTCTCATTTTTAATAAGGATGTAATGGATGGCATGCTTTCAATGAAAGCTTAGGTTTAATTTTCATGTGGAAGCATGTATGTGAGAAAATCAGGAAGACACACAGCTTCTCTTTGAATGGTATTGAAGAGACTTAATTTTTCCTATATTTGTTTCAATTATGCCCTATTCTACTTCTACAGTTACAGAGTTCTTTTCTTATTTGTTGTTCATTATCAAGTCAGTCTAATACTGTTGAATACAGTTTAATTAGACTTTTTTTTTTCACTCAAAGGAGAGTTTTTTGCCCCATGAAAAACACAAAATATTTTAAAACAATGTTTTGGTCCTAGCAGATATATTTTTAATTTTAATTTTATTTTTGTTAATTACAGTTTATTCAATTTGTATCCCAGCTGTAGCCCCTCCTTCACCCCCTCCTAATCCCACCCTCCCTCCCTCTTCTTCTCCTATGCCCCTCCCCCAGTCCACTGATAGGGGAGGTCCTCCTTCCCTTCCATCTGACCCTAGTCTATCAGGTCTCATCTGGACTGGCTTCTTTGTCTTCCTCTGTGGCTGTTCCCCCCTCAGGTGGAGGTGATCAAAGAGCCAGCCCATGAGTTCATGTCAAAGACAGTCCCTGTTCCTATTACTAGGGAACCCTCTTGGACACTGAGCTGCCATGGGCTACATCTGAGCAGGTGTTCTAGGTTATGTCCATGCATGGTCCTTGTTTGGAGTATCAGTCTCACAAAAGACCCCTGTGCCTGGCAGATATTTTTGTCTGTAGTGAACTGTAGAAGCTGAACTGCAGAACAGTTCTGAGTTGGCATGTCAGCCTGATGGAGCTGATCTTACTCATGAGTCTTCTTCATTTTCCGATGACACACCCATGCTTGTTGCTTGTGTATGGTTCTGTGAGTTGGCTCAGTAGTCGCGACAGAGTGCTGTGTTATGGAGGCTTGATGTGGACCCTGAATTTGAATACTGGCTCTAACCAGGGTGAGTCCGCAACCCCAGCATCCATGGCTTCCTCAGTAGCACCTGCCTCCATGGGTTGCAGAAAGTCCTGAGAGCCCTGTACCCAACACACTAGACATCTGCATTCATCCAGAGGACATTTGCTGTTATTTTCATCTTTCCCACATAAGGGAGCATAGTCCTGAATGTGAAGGGGGCACTATAAGTGTCCCTTAACACCAGACATATGTTTTTATATTACAAATGTATACTTTTAGAGAAAAGGACAGGACTGGGGAGACAGCTCAATGGATAAGATTTCTTGCTCTACAAGCCCGAGGACCTGAGCTTGAATCTCCATGTAAGCAGCTGGCCCCGACTGCCTGTCCCTGCAATTTCAGCATACCTGTCTGTCTGTCGTCTCCACCTCTGGCCACCTAGCCTTGCGAGCTTCCAAGTCGGTGAGAGATCTGTCTCCAGGAAATCATGTGGAGCGCACGCAATAGAGGAAGACACCAGTGACCTGCTTTGGCCACAGGTGTGTACCCACACACGTCTGTGTCCCTGTGTCCTCACATACATCTCCTCCCACAGAGGAAATAATCTACACTTGCTTCTGAATTCAATGGGAATTCTATTTTGAGAATTCCTGCCCTAGGTAATTTTCTTCTCTGTATTGATGTGCACAACTGATTCTAACAGGTAGCTAAATGCTATTTGAAAGTGTGATTCATCCATGCTGGCAAATCACATAAAGGAGTGATTCAGTTAATTTTGGGGGAAAAGCACTTGGCTTTTAAAGTGTTTGAACTATTCAAAACATTTTATTGAATCATGTACCTTTCACCAGAAATCATGATAAAAACAAAGCTAAGGCCATTTCTGCCATGCTTAGGCTTTGTGATAATTCCTCCTATAAATGAGTCCTACTGAGTTTTTAATGCTTATTAGATTAAAACAAAACATGTACTGTACTCCATGTAGTCTGGGGAGTTAAATTCAGACACATTTGTGTATTTGAGTTATTTTAGGGCCAAACTCACTAGTGTATAGAAAAATGAAGACAGTTAAGGTAATTTATTATAAAAATGTGTAGCACATCTGTTATGAGACATTTAGCTTCTTTTTTCCTCTTTGTCAGTTCTGAGAGGCTTTTCTTACCCAGCATGTACAGTGTCCCTGTAGAAGGATTGAGGAAGTGGTCAGAAGGTCTCTTCTGCTGGTTTGCCTGCTGCCTTTTTTTTTTTTGAGACAGGGTTTCTCCACGTAGCCTTGGCCGTCCTGGACTTGCTGTGTAGACCAGGTTGGCCTCGAACTCAAAGCGATCCACCTGCCTCTGCCTCCCCTTACTGCAGTTCTTACTCCCAGAAAAGTGTTCCTTCCCAGACTTATAGAGCGGAATAAAAAGCTAAGATAGTAAGCAACAATCCATCGTTTAAAGCACATGTTACATAAAACACAACAGATTTTTAGAAGTTATTAAAATTTCAAATGGTTTAAAAAAATTAGAGGTGTTTGCTTAGCAAACCAAAGTTTTGGGTTTCTAGTACCAAAAAGGAAAAGAAATTTAAAATATTTTTAATCTCCTATTTTTCCTTCAGCGCGTTTGTCTCTGAATTAAAAAAAAAAAAAAAAAGAAAAAGAAAACAAACATAAGTTTTTAAAAAGCCTGTCACATTCCCTTGTACCTGTAATTTTAGCACTTGGGAGGCTGAGGCAGGAAGATAGCTGAGAGTTTAAGACCAGTCTGAACTACAGAGTGAGACCTTGTCTCAATAAAACAAAATAAGCAAGATTAAAGTTCCAATGCAAACAGAATATCCGCAAGCTCCATACACTTGTAAATCGCTGCAGGAAATGCCAAACAGTTTATTTACAGAAGGCTCTTGTACCTGAAGGCTTTCAAAGTCGGTGCGGGCTGAGCCCAGCAGGTTTCCAAAATGAGGAACCTCATTAATCAGTGACAAGGGTTGCCAGCCGCCGCGGAGTGAAAGAGAAAGTTTGGGAAGCGCTCACCTAAGAAACACCTCACCAGGGCTTCATTCTGGGTGAGGAAAATTTATGCGCGGAAAGGGCGCCTTATTTTATTTTTCCAAGTCAACATGCCCGTCTAGACTTTGAGCTTTATTGCAAGCAAAGAGAAAATGGGGTTGGATGGCCTTAAAAAAAAAGTCTCGGCTAGCTCCACCGGAGGCTTGTCCTCTGCAAACATCTGGCTGCAGGCAAAGGCTGCGAGAGCTGGATGGCGAGAGGAGGGCTCCGCTGTTGCCCGGACAGTTTCCAATCCCGGTCAAGCGGTGGTGCTAGCTCTTTGCTGCAGGCTCTCCGCGTTTCCTAATTTCATGGTCACAACAGCCTGGGAGCGGATTCTACCCAAACTGAAAACACAAGGCTCCATGCTCAGCAGCCCTGTGACGCCAGGAGAGGCCAATGCCCCCTCCTGTGCCATTCTCTAGCACAAGAAGGCAGTCTCTGGGCGACATTCTTCTCAAGCAGGTACTTTATTTCTTTCCATCCCCCCCCCCCCCCGGCTATAATGTGCTACTGTGTGCAATCAGCCTGGAGTCTCAGAGCTCACCTCTCCTCTGAGAATATGTCCATTTCCTCTCCTCTCATCGCTTCAGGGATATATAGATTATATGTATCTATGTATATCTCTCTCTTTTTTTTTTTTTTAACAAAGTTTCTGGCAAACGTTATCATGACGTTAACATGTTAAACCTGACCTTGGTCCCGTGGAAATTCACTCTGGAGGCCACGTTCAGCTGAGTCAGAGGTCGACACAGTTATCTCTTCTCAGCACAGCGCTGACAGGCTGCCTGCCTGCCCCGGATCACGCCGTCTATTTATTGATCCCAGGTCTAACTGTGGGGATTCTGTGTGGTTGAAACGTGCGCGACTCTGAAAAGTTCCTGCTTGGACTTAACTTCCTACTTGCCTCAGCACGACCTCAGTTTCTTACTCTTCGGTGCTGTGGCCTCCGTGAGCCTGATCTAAGCGGCTGCAATGAGCCACTTATTCTTCCCCGGAGGCAGAGGAGTTTTCTGAAAAGCTGTTCAGTCTAGTAATGCATCTCGTTTTGAAGTTGTCCCTCGACTGTAGGCAAGTTCGGTGCCCTGTGGGTTTGGGTGACTGCTTTTTTTTTTTTTTTTTTTTGTCACACATAGTGTGCCCCTCGTTGGTGACGTGGTAGTTACAAAAGGCAGAAAAGGATACTTTCATTTTGGCCACAGGAAAGCCACCCGTTTCCTGTAGTGGAAAGTCTCGGGCTTGAACAAGAAATTGCCAGTGTTTGTTCTCTCTGACTCGCCCAGAAAATCCTAGATGGCTAAAATTCATTAAATTTTTTTTAACTTAATCTAAGGGTTGGGCTTAATTAAGATGATGATCGTGGCATGAAGTACCACTCACGGGTGCCAGATATTTTAAAATTAGCCTCTTGGGCCAAATCTAACAGATTTATGGGGCACCTCCACCCACAAGGCTACTGGGAAACGTATTTGGTTTTGAATTTGAAACAATAATATGTGCGGGGTGTGTGGATGTTGGAGAACCAATTAAAAGCATTTGAACTTACTTAAAAATCAGGAGGGTGGGAACCTCTGTGATCTTGGGTTCAGCACCTATTTCTATTCATTAAAATTCTTTCTTGTTTCTCAAAAAATAAATAAATAAAAAGGAGGCGAGCGTTTGCTCTTGTTTCGATAATATCCGGAGAAGGCCCACTCTAGGCCTTGCACAGATGTAAGATTGTAGAGGTTGGGCCCACATCTATGCCCAATATTGATGAATTTTTGTCACAGAAATTGGAAATAAAACTGACATAGGCATGAGAGACAGGGCATACAGGAAAAACTGCAAAATATTGAATCTGAACCCTGGGGTTACACTAAGGGTGGCATGTGTTCTTTTGACACTTGGAGGTAGTTGTTCAGTTTTGTTGCTCATGACAGTAAAGGAAGAAAATGAACACCAGACTGGTAAGTTTGCTGCAATAAGTCGGGCAACTGCCTTTTCCTTCAGTGATCTCTGCCTGTCACTCAGTGTAGAACCCAGATTAGTCTGCCTTCCTTCCTCCCCAAGCATGCACGCTCCTGAGCTGTGGAGACATTCCACCAGGTACCTGCTGAGCCTTCTTACATGGTAGTCATCCGGATCTGCCATGTCTGAGCGTGTCTCTGTAGTTTTGATCCAGTTGGTCAGAATGCCTGCTTGAGATGGGCCACAGCTGAGCTTCAGTTTGATCTGTACGTACAGGGAGGAGGCTGTAAAGAAAAAGGACAAGAGAGTGAATGGTCTGAAGAAGAAAATCATACCTCTGCCAAAAGGCATAGGAGGTGTGGTCCTGTCTGCCCACACTGCCTGGGCTGACTGGCTATTGTTTACTGAGAAAGAGAGAGCACCTATGAGACCCTGCACAGGGACTAACGAAGTATTTATCTATGTATTCACTTATTTATTCTCTATGTGTGTGTGTGTGTGTGTGTGTGTGTGTGTGTGTGTGTGTGTGTTCCATACTGAGAATGTGGAGGCCAGAGGACATTGTTGTGAAGTCACTTCTCGCCTTCCATCTTTACACTGGTTCTGGGAATTGAACCCAGGTCTCCAGGCTTGCACAGCAAGTGCTTTACCAGTGAACCATCTCACTGGGCCCCCAAATGCTCTTCTTAAAGGTAAGAACTTTACAAGTAGCTTTTGCTAAAGACGGTGATGATAATGGTGATTTTGTCTCTTAAGTGATGTCCTAGTAGTCCTTTTCTGGATCATCCTGGAAAACTGCATGCACAAATGAATTCTATGACTCTCTCTCTCTCTCTCTCTCTCTCTGTGTATATATATATATATATATATATATATATGCCTCTGAAAGCCTTTGACCTTTATAGATCCAAGGGGGTTGAGCTCATCCCTAGAAATACTCTGCTATAAAGCGTATTCTCCTGCGCAGGCTTTCCACCTCAGCTAACTTTTTGGTGAGGGTTCAGAAATCCACAAGAAGTCACCAATCTCATGCCTTACCTCCTACCACTTTCTAGTTGTCCCATTCAGGAAAAGTCTCTCACTTTTCTCCTCTAATCTCTATCTGCAAAAAGAGAGCAGTAAGAGTTGCTACAAGCTATGACTCCATGGGCTAAATGAACTTAAAGCACTCATTTAACTACTTGCAGCTGTCTAGTTTTAGGAACTCAGTATAATGCTTATAATCCCAGACTGGAAGGTTATGAGTTCAAGGTCAGCCTAGGCTACTTAGTATTTTCCCATGCCATTCAAGCACCGTCACCTGAAGAACAAAGAGATAGAAACCCAAATGGAGAAGTCTTTTCATTCTAAGTCTGGTGCTCAATAAATGTCATTTGAAAAAATGTTTAGAACCTAAGGGCAACATCCAAGGTAGAGGAGATTGATGTCCATCTAAGAGTATCTCTGACTTTGTTCTGAAAAATTTAGGGAGTCATTCTTGCTTGCTGGGCATTACACCCACTGAAAACATTCCCGCTTTGTGGTCCGTGTTGGAAGAGAAGGCTGGAGACCCCTAATGTCCACCTCTTCATTTCACCATCACCCTTCTTCCTTATATCTAAGCAAGGTCATACTTGTTTGTGATGGAAAGGTCTGGCTGAGACAAGCATTTTAAAGCCATGTAACAGGCAGATCTCTATGAGTTCAAGGGCAACCTGGTCTACAAAGAGAGTTCCAGGACAGCCAGGGCTACACAGAGAAACCCTGTCTCAAAAACAAAACAAAACAATAACAAACAAACCAGCAAGCAAACAAGAATCACGTAACGAATGCTTTGTTTTTGTCTTCAAATTGGAAGATCATTCCAAAGGACGAGGGGCACAGCACAGTAGAGCATCAGTTAGCATGCGTGAGATCCTGGGCTACTCCCCAGCATCAATCTCTTAGTCCACACACACGGCATGTATGCTGGGTTTCTAAATCAGACCAAAGGCCTAAGACAGGCTCTCCAGTACTGGTGCCACCTGTGTTCAGTGTTCAGGAAGTTGTAATAGTAACAGGATTACATGAGTGCTTGATGTTCGGGGAGCTCTTGTTTTGCTTAACGACTTTGATCCCTCAGTGCTGGGGTGTGCAATACTTCTCCATTTTAGTGGATATTGGCACCTTTAACCTCCGCACCACCCCAGCTCATTGGCAGTAATACTATTCCCATCAAATAAAGGAGGAAATGAAGGCTCTGCACAGCCAGGTGGTTTGTCCCACATGGCTTTAAAGGTGACAGGAGAGTCCTAGGAGACAAAGTCCATCTCATTCCCGAGTCTGTTACAGTCCTTATTTGGTAGAGGATGCTGGTTTCTGAAGCACTTGCCTCTATGAACCTTGTCCTGGAGAAGTAGTGTACCCCAAGCCCAGTGTCTCTCTAGCTGCAAAACCTGTGATGAAGTTTTACCCTCCTGAGTGCAAACTGTTGTGGGACGTGCACAAACTACTTAGTTACGTTGTGAAATCTTGCAAGTGAAGAGAGGGAGGTTATGCGGTCCAGTGAGTGTGGTGCCAGAAAGTAGCGTGCAGAGTGCTTTGACCTGCACTTCTGAAGAGGTCTGTGTGTGTGTGTGTGTGTGTGTGTGTGTGCGCGCGCGTGCGCGCACGTTTGTGTAGATGAAAGTGTGAGTGGAGAGAGTCTCTGGGTGTGTGATAAAGCTCAAATGTGAGAAGGAGGTGACAGGGAGATTTTGGAAGATGTCCATCACCTTCTCCCTGGGGAGCCAGTGTGACTTGGGAGATGTTCTCTGGTGTGAGGTGACTGGAGGCTGGGTGGAGCCCCACCTTTTCTAGTGCAAAACCCAGCAGGTGTCTTGTCGGCTGTACAGCTGTCACTTCTTTTTCTCAACTCCAGGCTTCAGGAGTACAACCCTGGTTTAGCCTCCTCCTCAAAGTTACCAGCTCTCAACTCGAGGGGGCGGTTTCCCTGCGGAGGCCAGGGATGAATCAGGCCCAGGCTCCCTGCTCATCGCAAGGAGATGAGGTGGGAGGGAAGGACATGGCCGTTCTGGGGACCTCAAGTCGGTGCCCTGACTGCTTCCTTCTCTAGAGCGGTGACAGCCCACTCTTTTTTTTTTTTTTTTTTTTTTTTTTAGGATTGCCTATTTCTTGGTTCTGGGTGAACCATTTACTTGTCAAGCGCTATCAGCTTGTGCTCTCTAAGTGGATCTCCTTCCCCATTTGCTTCTGTAGAACCTGGGCCTTCTGCACATGGAGACCTGCGTGCTTCAGACCTTTTCTCCCTCTGCCGTGCAATGAAGCAGTCTTGCTGGGATATTTACTTTGAGAACTGTGGCAAAGACTCTTTGGTAATCCACAAGAAAAAAAATATTTTAAGATTTATTTATTTATTATGTAAAGTATTCTGCCTACATGTACACCTGCACACCAGCAGAGGGCACCAGATCTCACTATAGATGGTTGTGAGCCATGATGTGGCTGCTGGGAATTGAACTCAAGACCTTTGGAAGAGCAGTCAGTGCTCTTAACCC